TCATTGTTAACAGGAGTAGTCCCAGAAGATTGGAAGTTTGCGAATGCTGTGCCCATTCACAAAAAAGGTAGTAGGGAGGAGTCGGGCAACTATTGGCCAGTAAGCCTTACCTCAGTAGTGGGGAAAGTAATGGAAATCATGTTAAAGGGTAGGATTGTTGAACATCTAAAAACACATGGATTTCAAGATCAGAGACAACATGGGTTTACTTCAGGGAGATCATGCCAAACTAATCTTATTGATTTTTGGGTAACTCAAATAATAGATCAGGGTGGTGCAATAGACAATGCTTACCTAGATTTCAGTAAGGCTTTTGACACTGTTGCACACAAAAGGCTTATCAATAAACTGCAATCTTTAAGTTTGTATTCCTATATTTTTGAATGCGTAAGGCAGTGGCTGAGTGACAGGAAACAGAGGGTTGTAGTCAATAGAGTATATTCAAAGCATGGGCTTGTCACCAGTGGGGTACCTCAGGGATCTGTACTTGGACCCATTCTCTTTAATATTTTTATTAGTGATCTTACAGAAGGTCTTGATGGTAAGGTATGTCTTTTTGCTGATGATACTAAAATATGTAAGAGGGTTAATGTTCCAGGAGGGATAAGCCAAATGGCAAATGATTTAGGTAAACTAGAAAATGGTCAGAGTTGTGGCAACTGACATTTAATGTGGGTAAGTGCAAGATAATGCATCTTGGACGTAAAAGCACAAGGGCAGAGTACAGAATATTTGCTTGAGTCCTAACCTCAACATCTGAGGAAAGGGATTTGGGGTGATTATTTCTGATGACTTAAAGGTAGGCAGACAATGTAATGGAGCAGCAGGAAATGCTAGCAGAATGCTTGGTTGTATAGGGAGAGGTATTAGCAGTAGAAAGAGGGAAGTGGTCATGCCATTTTACAGAACACTGGTGAGACCTCACTTGGAGTATTGTACGCAGTACTGGAGACCGTATCTCCAGAAGGATATTGATACTTTAGAAACAGTTCAGAGAAGGGCTACTAAACTGGTTCATGGATTGCAGGCTAAAACTTACAAGGAAAGGTTAAAAGAACTTAACATGTATAGCTTGGAGGAAAGACGAGACAGGGGGGATATGATAGAAACATTTAAATACATAAAGGGAATCAACACAGTAAAGGAGGAGACTATATTTAAAAGAAGAAAAACTACCCCAACAAGAGGGCATAGTCTTAAATTAGAGGGGCAAAGATTTAAAAATATCAGGAAGTATTACTTTACTGAGAGGGTAGTGGATGCATGGAATAGCCTTCCAGCTGAAGTGGTAGAGGTTAACACAGTAAAGGAGTTTAAGCATGCATGGGATAGGCATAACTAGCTATAAAATAAGGCCAGGGACTAATGAAAGTATTTAGAAAATTGGGCAGACTACCATTTCGGTATTTACAGTAGAATTTTGAGACATATGTGATGGGCCTATGTTTCAATTTGGGGCTTTATAGCAGTTTGACTGTTTGAAAAAAACCCACAAAGGCCTACCATTTGTAAAAGTAGACACTCAAGGGTATCTCACATGTGTAAGGATATGAAATAGTTAACTCTTTTTGCATTATATGCTTTAAAATAACATTTGAAATAATTATGCTGACCTTGGCAGATATATTCTGTAACATGCTCTGAGAGGCCTCCGTTCTACAGGAGGTATGACCTCACTCGACCTCAAGATGTTCCTGTGCCGTCTTTATTCAAATGCTTATCTTTTTAATATCAGACAAGTTTCAAGTATGTACTATTAACTATAAGGAAGCGATAAATCTCGCTGCTTGTGCTACAAACTGTGTATAAATGCTAGCTTTGAAAATATACTCATTGAGAACTTGCTAGAGCACTCTTTCGTGTCTGTCGTTATTTGCTAAACAAGAACTCCCGTCAATTGATGTGGTGACCGGAGTATCGAGAATCGAGGGGAGTTGAGTCCAGAACAGCATTAACCTTTTCAACATGGTGCATATTGTGCCCTAACATGCTCCCATTTTTTCACCAATGTATGCCAAAATCTGTGGTAAAAAATTATTTGGGGCATTTTTTACATACATATTAAATTTTTGCTGGGCATTTTGTATATTTGATATGTGCCACTATGATCAAAGGCCCCAAATTATGCTCAACTAAGTCTTCTGAGTAAAACGATACACCAAATGAATTTCTTTGGCACTATTTCGTGAAGCTACAGTGCCATATAGGAGACCTGTCCATTTCAGTATTTACATTAGAATTTTGAGAGACAGATTTGATGGGCCTATGCTTCAATTTGGGGCATTATAGCAGTTTGACTATTCAAAGAAACCCCACAAAGGCCTACCATTTGTAAAAGGTTATTTCAAATAGCATATTTTAAACCCTAGCGTAGGATAATTTTTTTGCTAGTTTGTACTAGGGATCAAGCGATATTGATTTTTTTTTTTAGAGCCGATACTGATAATCTGTAAACTTTTAGGCCGATAGCCGATAACTTACCGACATTCTGTACAGTTACCATTTTGAAAAAATAAACTATTTCTAAAGGTAAATGCACAAAATATACATGCCACGTGTAGTTGATGCAGTGTGTTTAGACAGGGGAGCTGTGTGTGTTTGTGTAGTGGATGAAGTGTGTGTTTGTGTAGTGTGTATATAATGAATGCAAAGTGTGTTTGTGTATTGTGTATAGTGAATGCAGTGTTTGTGTAGTGTGTGTATATAGTGAATGTAATGTGTGGTATGTGTATAGTGAATGCAGTGTGTGTGTGTGTAGTGTGCATAAAGTGAATGTAGTGTTTGCATTTAGTATATACACACACACTACACAAAGTGTGTGTTTGTGCAGTGTGTGTGTATAGTGAATGCAGTGTGTGTATATAATGCAGTGTTTGTGTGTGTGTTTGTGTAGTGCAGGGGTAGTCAACTTTTTAATACCTACTGCCCACTTTTGTATCTTTGTTGATGGTAAAATTTCCTTACCGCCCACCAGTGCCACAATAACAAATTTTGTAGCACAAGTCCGATTTGATTTATTGTTTTATATTTTTTGAAAGGAGGGTTTTTAAAAAAAAAGTACTTAAATGTATCTTTTTCTTCCATTTTTTTTCTATTTCCCTTTTTTTCTATGTGTGTCGGGGAGGTGCGGTGTGTTTGTGTGACAGGTGTATGTGTGTGCGAGAGAGGTATGCAGTTTGTGTGTGAAGGGTGTAGTATGTGTGTGTGTGTGAGGTGCAGTGTGTGAGGGGGCATTGTGTGAGTGGGCACTGTGTGTGTGTGTTTTGTGTGTGTATGTGAGGGATGCAATGTGTGAGAGGGGTGTAGTGTGTGTGAGAAGGCCGTCTGTGTCTGTGTGTGGGGGGGGGGCACTATGTGTGTATGTGTTTGTGTGTGAAGGGTGCATAGGGTTTGTGCTATGTGTAGGTGGGTGAGATGTGAAAATCTATCTAAATGTCTTCACCTCCCTTCTTACCTTTTACCAGGGAGGGGGGATATAATGCTGCAAGCCCTGGTGGTCCAGTGGTGGCATGTTCACTTTAGCGTGCAGCTCCTCTATCTGCAGGCTGACTCTCCTGTCCTCCTGCGAGCACAGCACTGTACTGGAGTGTTGACATGGTAACGCATGGCAACGCTCTAACCAGCCTGCTCGTATGAGGAACACAGAGCATGCCAGGCCCTTCCCTCTCTCTGCTGGAACTAAGTGCTTTGATTTCCTTACCAAGGCTGGCTCTGCATGGGCTGGCAGGGGAGATTAAATGATCTCCACTGCCAGCCTTGGTCCACGGCCATCAAGGCGCACTGGGTGTTTTCTGCAGAACCCACCACCGCCCACCTCAAATCCCAAACCACCTACTAGTGGGCAGTAGGGACCAGGATGACTACCCATGGTGTAGTGTATATATAGTGAATGTAGTGTGTGTGTGTGTGTGTGTATATAATGAATGCAGTTTGTGTAGTGTGTATATAGTGAATGCAGTGTGTTTGTGTAGTGTGTATATAATGAATGCAGTGTGTGTGTGTGTTTGTATAGTGTGTGTGTGTGTGTATAATGCGGTGTGTGTAGGCATGTAATTTGGGGGGAGGGGGCATTTTGTATTAAATTTTTTTTTTAAATATTTAATTATTATTATTTCTTGTCCCCCCCTCCCTGCTTGTTACCTGGTCAAGGAGGGGGGATAGCATTCCCTGGTGGTCCAATGGCATGGAAAGTACAGAGAGGGCTCGCAGCAAGTTTACTTACTTTCCCAGCAGCTCCCCTGTTAAAATTTTGCAGCCTGCGTGCCGCGCGGAGCATTGCCCTGGTAACCTGTGGCAACGTTCTGACGGCCGCGGGACTCGCTAGATTTACACAGGGGAGCTAAAGGGAGCAGCTGGGAAGATAAGCAAGTGCTTGCTGCGGGCCCCCCAGGACCGCCGGGCTTGTAATGGGCCCGGCGGTCCTGGTATGTATTATCGGCAATATCGGTATCTCTATTGGCCAATTCCGAATATCAGCCGACACTGATAATCGGTTGATCCCTAGTTTGTACCAAGTCTAGTAGCATTTAGCATTTTTTCTGCCTTTTTGACACACACTTGGAGATGTTTGTAACGGATCACCTGGCACCCCGACAAGGTACCTCCGTTGAAGGATGCTCCTAGCGCTTCCTGGGGCTCCAAGCACTCCGCCAGACACCACAACAACCGCAGACCCCATTAACTGCCGCAGATTGGTTGGGGTCTCGCCGTCTCCTACCCACCCTGGACCTACGACAAGGCTCCACGTTCCAGTGGGTGAACCTCTCCTCCAAGAGAGTGAAGCAGGAACAAGCTCTTAAAAGAGCTTTGTAGTGATTATCCAAGGGAGCATGCAGAACATAGCAATCCCTTGTAGTGATATAGCAATTCCCCCAATAAGAGACAGGATTCTAGATTGAGGGTGAAGAAGAAGTCTCTGTACTGGCCCATACAGCCTCTTTTATTCACATTCTACAAACATAGTACTGCCCACAGGGCTTTGAAGCACAACCCATCAACACATTATAACACAGCTAACACTCCCATTCATTACATCAGAAATCCTCCCCTCTCCCTGTGATACAATTATCTCAACACAATAGACTAATTTAATTATCACAGGCAGTAAAATACAGTATTATAAAACATATCACAGGGACCCCCACATGCAATAACCCCATAAAAAATATAAAAAATATATCCTCAGAACCAGGGGATCTGGGTGAACCACATATCCAAAATTCACCCAGATCCGTTCAGTAGTTTGGAAGATACGGTTTAATGCAGATTCCGCAGAACATATACAGGTTATATGAAAAATAATTACTGTTAAATGTGTCCCCCGTTCTATAGTTTAAAACTACTGCACAATGTCTTTTGCACCAAATACCGGCGAGATGGCACCGTGTAGAAAAGTCCAAACAGTGTCTGTGAGTTAAAATGGCCGCCATCCATTATTCTCACCATGTGCTTCATCCATTGTTCTCACCATGTGCCTCTGATACATGAAATGGTGGCCACCCAGTAACTCCACAGTATGTCCCCAGATGGTTCTTAAAGGGCCAGCAGCAGCATAATAAAATACAATATGTCCAAATCAGTTCATTAAAGGGCAATACATCCCAGGGCCATAGTCGCAGAGCAGGAGGCTGGCAAACAGGCCCCTCCAAAAAACAGTGGCGAGGTCACTTTCACCACAATGTTACTATATATTTTGCAATCCTAATGTGTTCTACGGCAGTAAAACGCCTAATATGTTGCTCACCTATGTCGTCTTAGTACAACAATACCCCCATGTGTACCTTTTTCAGGGATATGTGGATGTTGAAGGGGCACATTGGAAACCAAGCCATATCAGTTTTTTTTATTTTTTTGATGCCGGGTCCATGTGCAATTTTAGAGCATCTTAGCAGGCTGATAATTCAAACTACCCCACAAAGGCCTACCATTACTTAAATAAGGTATTAACCTGCATCAAACTTTGAGGCACTGTCTGTCAACTCTGTCTTCTGATAGAATTCAGAATCCTCCTCGGCACTGAACTTTTTAAGCATTTTTAACTTTAACTAAACAATGTTATGATTTTTTTTCTTCTTTTTTTTTTAAAATCTTTTCACCCCTAACATACCACTAAACTTCCCAATTTCCCATGAATTACCATACACCCTAATTAACAAAATAAAATCAGAAAAATAAAGATAATAAAATAATCAGTCAGAGTTCAGAATTGCCGCAGCCTCCTTGGCCCTAAAAGTCGTCAGCAACTTTAAAATGGAACTAAATAATAATAATGATAAAATATAACAATTTGCAACTTATTCGTCCTGGGTGTGAAAAACTTTAAAACAGTTGCCAATACAAAGGCCAGGCTAAGAGGGGCAATCAGGGCAGTAAAAGCTGGTTTCCGTCCTTATGCCCCTTTGGTAGCACAACTTGCACCTTTTCTGGGGTTTCTTATTTTTGGGGGTTGGTGGTATGCGGAAACTGAAGTGACCTGTCTCAACCCTTTTGCTGCTAGGCCCGGCTGATTGTTCCCCACTGTGGCACTCAGTAAGCAGCCGAGAAATCAGCTGAAACTGAAAATCCAGATATGTGGATTTAATTTCAGCATTTGCCTTTTTGTATAGAATAAAGGCATTGTGTGTTGCCATTTGCATTAGGTAAATGCTAAGTTTTTTGTACCATGCTCTGGTCTTCCTTTGTATTAAATATGGCTGCAGCAGTTGGTCGGACAGGTCAACTCCCCACATATGCTTGTTGTACTGCCAAATGCAGGCTGGCACCCGTCTAGTTTCTTGTCTGCCACAAACTGCAACTCTTCGAGTGTGCTCAGTATGCATGGATGTTAGCATGAACACCTCCTTTTTATCTTTAAATTTGAGAGCCAGCAGTTCGTCCTGGCAGAGAGCAGCTGTTTCCCCCCTCTCTAGCTTTTCTTGTGCCAGGGCTTTGGGAAACCAACACATTTTGTGCATGGTTTCAAAGCAATAAAGCATCCGAGGAAGAGAGATGCTGTTGTAGTAGTTATCTATATATAAATTATACCCCTATAGCAATGGGATAATTAGATCCCATACAATTTTCCCACACGTCCCAATGATATCTGGGCAACCTGAGGGATCCAAGTGGCTGTCTTTACCTATGTAAACATGGAAGGTGTAAACATGGCCACTGGCACTTTCGCAAAGTTTATATAACAGGCAAATTAGGGGGCAAATCTTATAGTGGTTATCGTACTGAGGATTATCTCTTGGGGGGCACTTTGAATTGTCGCTGAAGTGTAGAAAGAAAAGTATTGCTTCGTATCTGGACCTATTAATGGTCTGGGAGTAAATCAGAGTGCTGCAAACAGGATTTTTGGACCAGTACATTCTGATGCTGTACTGTTCATTAGCATAGTCAGTGCCCCAACATTTTTTTAATTCTGGCACACTGATGGAGTAACAACTCCCTTTCCTGGCGATGAGACTCTGATCATTAAGTGTCAAGTACTGTGCAGCATAAATGTTGGTCTGGGTGATGATATCCCCTAAAATATCATCCCCTAAGTATAGCTGCATCCAGTGCACCAGGACTACCAGTAAACTCTGGGATATCAGGCGTAAAATCATTTGGGGGTTCCCAGTCACCAGTGCCAGTGTACCTTCTAGACATTGTGAAGCTGTAACTTGAACTTAGTTTTTCTAACTTTTTTTTCTACTTTTTAAAAACGTTTAAAAAGTTTTCCAAACTTTTAGTCCCTAACTAGCCCCAATTTCCTAGTAAAGTCCACCCACTCCAGCTAACTAAAGAATCAACATCAAATTAATAAAATAAAAAATAAAATAAAATTAACCCCTAATGGTTAAAAAAATAAAATAAATAAACGTTGAGGTCAAAAAATAATAATAATTAGATCACAGTTAAATAATGTGATCAGTATACTGATCACTGCAGGCAGTGATCAAAAGGGCATGGGAAGGGTTAAAATTATTTTAAGGGGCGTGGCCGAACTGTACATGGAGTAGGACGCAGTTGCCGAGAGCTCCTAGGCCCCAACCCGCTAAACGCCCGGTTAACGAAGCAAAATCTTTGCACTCATGGGGAAAACTAAGCGAGGGGTGACCCCGAGGCCATCCCATGCCCCAACGCATTATACCCCGGGCCCCATGGACGAATACCTTGCCACCCCGCAGATTCTTGGCGGAGCGCGGGAAACAGACAAGATGGCGCCCGGATCCCCGGGCTCCAGTGACAGAGCTGGCTCCCCCAGAGGTTCCACAGGTGGGGACACATTGAGCCAAATGTCGGCTGACCTGACAGCAATTTCAGCGAATATGTTGACACGCAGTGATAAGGCAGCGATGGTGGCGGAACTCCGGGCGGCAATACGAGAGGAGGTCACGGCAGTGAGGAGGGACCTAGCAGTGCTGGAGCAGAGGGTCGACAGCCTAGAGGAAGATCGCCTACAAACCACTCACCGCCTACAATCAGCAGATCTGGCGGCTTCTCGGCAAGGGAACATGCTTTTGGAACTCCGACGCCAGGTGGAAGACCTCGATAACAGAGGCCGTCGCAATAACATCCGTGTGCGAGGCATGCCGGAGTCAGAGGGGGAATCACCCAGGGAGCTCCTCACGGGGCTCTTCCATCACATTCTGGGAGAGGAGGCACCGATGGAGTTTGGCTTCGAGAGGGCGCACAGGGCACTCCGAGCCCCACGGAGGGATGGTCTCCCTAGGGACCTCATCTGCTGCCTACAGTCTTTCACACTAAAGGAGGCCATTATGCGGGCCGCCAGATCTCAACGTGTTGTTCACTATGGCGACGCACAAATCTCACTCTATCAAGACCTCTCCTCGCTGACACTGGAGGCCCGCAGAGCTTTAAAACCCCTCACAAGCTTGTTGCAGGAGAAGCGCATACCATATAAATGGGGGTTCCCTTTCAGCCTCCAGGCCAGAGTGGACAATCAGTGGCACATCTTACGCTGGCCCAATGAAGTCCCGCGATTTCTACAGGCAGCAGGCCTCCCGCATGTAGTGGTGCCGAATTGGATTCTGGAAAGCCCCCCGGCCCGACCGACGGGCCCTGACGTCCCAGCAGAGACTCTTTCAGCGGCAGCATCGTTGGGACCTCGCCGGCGTGGCCCGGGAGGTCCAGAAGAATGAACAAACACCTGGACTCCCCCGGCACCTGATATGGAAATTGAAGATTGGGGACTCTGGACCCATGGGACCCCCTGACTCACGGCACCCTGGTTGGCCCGCGGAGACTGAGAGCCCGGTACGGGGGGTGAGGTGAGGGGCACGGACTCACGGCTGAACGCCCATCTTAGAGCCTGGGGACGGGTCCCCCCCCCGCCCCGGTAGCGGGTGGGCTCCAGTAAAGTTGGGGAGGGGGGTAGCCACGGGGGGTGGAGAGGGTGCGGAATAGCGCGGGGTGGGGGACGGTTCGGGTGCGCGGCCGCCCGATGTCGCTATGCGGGGGGGACGAGGGGAGGCCAGACTGGCCCCCTCGGCCCTCTAGTACGCTGGCAACTCCAACACCCGATGAGGGGTCGGGGGCGGCGCGCGCGGACCGGACCCGCACGGCGCGCTCAGCTATAGGGACTCCGCAAGGGGGATGCACCATAGCAAGCGTTGAGTGGGGAGGGGGTCTGCAGAACCTCAGGGGGGTCACCAGGGTGCCCGGCTGGACTGCTGGAGACTTTACCGGGGATAGATATAGATATTACACCACAACTTACAAGTCTCCAAGGGGCCAGGGACACGGGAGCTCATAAAGGGGGTCCAGAGACAGGATGCCGGGGCAGATCGAAAATAGTGTCTTAGAGTAGGTTACGTTCAGTTGTTAGAGGTTCATGTTTTTGAATGAGACTACATATAGAGGCCAGATGTTGGGGTGCCAAATTGAGGATTAGCGGGGGGCCCATTTAGGGTCATAGGACGGCGACGAAGCTTAGCCGTTAAGACGGCAACTTAAGTAACCTAAAGGTCACTAGCGGAGCCAGAGGCCGGGGGAACACTGGGGGGGAGGGGGGAGGAAGCCCGTCAGGACTAATCCAGGGGCAGCAATGCAATCGGAAGGGGGGATCCCCTAAAGTGGGACGGCTGGGACACCGGGGCAGAGACGCCTTTTCTCCTGGGATTTCAGGCGACAGACACTCCCACCAGCGGGTTGGGGGAGACTGGGGGGACGGTCACAGACGGACACTACATATACGAGTGACAGGCGACACACGTGGTTTGTACCACACCCCACGCAACAGACCTTAGTTGTATATAAAGGTCGGAGTCTAGACGGTCAGTAGGTAGGGGACTACTAGACGATAATCCGGACCAAGGTCGGACGTTGCATTTCCTTGCTGCATCTGTGGGCAGGGCTCGGCTCTGCCTCCCGCGCCCTCTTCCCCGCCTCCCCCCGGGGTCGCGGGTGGTCACTAGTGCTCATGGCGGTCCCGGTGGTGGGCCGGGCCGGGGGGCGCGCGGGGGCGGAGGCCGGGTCTCGGGTGCGCCCGGCGCAGCTGAAGCTCTGGTCGCACAATGCCAGGGGCCTTAATGTCCCGGAGAAACGTTCCCAGTTGATGCGCCAGCTCTGGGCGGAGAGGGTGTCCGTGGCGTTCCTGCAGGAGACGCACTTTGTGAGTGGGGCCCACCCCAAGCTTAGAAACAACCGATTTCCACAGGGATACTATGCATGTCACCCAGACGCCAAGAAGACAGGTGTCGCAATCCTTTTCTCACACTTGATCCCGTACCAACACAAAGAATTACTCACAGACCCAGGGGGGAGATACCTATTCCTCAAGGGTACCATAGCGGAACACGCCTACACGTTCGCCTGTGTCTATAGCCCGAACCGAGCACAACACTCTTTCTTAGCCAAAACGTTAGCGAAGCTAGAACGATTTAGGGAGGGATTTTTGGTTCTGGCGGGAGACCTGAACCTGCCGTTGGACCCGCGGGTGGATTCCTCAAAGGGCTCTAGTGCCATACCCGCTCACTGCCTCCACAGGGCCAGACGGGCCCTTAACTCGGTGGGGCTGGTTGACAGTTGGAGGGTTACCCATCCCGACGAGAGGGATTATACCTATTATTCCCCTACACATAAGCAGTATAGCCGCATTGACTACATTTTTCTGCCCCAGGATTTCCTGACACACCTCCAGGGAGCCGCAATAGGGACCATGTGCCATTCGGACCATGCCCCGGTCACGGTACAGATGCGTTCGCCCCTATTCAAACCAGTAGACCGTCAATGGAGGCTCAATGAGACGCTACTATCAGACCTCGAGGCGCGCTCCAAAGCCCAACAACTTCTTACCCAATATTTCGCTAACAATGATACCCCGGACGTGACATCACTAATGGTATGGGAGGCACACAAATGTGTCCTGAGAGGACACTTTATTTCTATAGGTACCAAGCGTAAGAAGGAGAAGACGCGCCGCATAGCAGAACTCCTGAAGACGGTAGCGACGCTGGAGGACACGCACAAACAGAATGTAGACGATGATACATACCTCCAATTGACGAACGCTCGTAAGGCACTCCGGGATCACCTCTCCCAGGGACACTTACTCACCTTGAGGAAGTCGGCCCGTTTCTTTTATGAGTACTCTAATAAGTGCGGCAAGCTCTTGGCCAGGATGATCCGGAAACAGAGGAGGTCATCTCACATCCATAAGATAAGTACCCGAGAGGGTAGGATCCACAGCATGCCGACTGGAATCATGGGAGCCTTTCGGGCCTACTACTCGGACCTCTACAACTCACGGACAGGGGCCCAAGAAGCCTCAGAACGGCACAGACGGAGGGGAATCACCGAATATCTAGAGACCAACGTGACCCGTAGACTGTCACCGGAGCTTGCCGAGGAACTGGAGTGCCCCCTGACACTGGAGGAGCTCAAGGCAGCCTTGAAACGGTCCAAACCACATAAGGCCCCAGGTCCGGACGGCCTTCCGCTCGCCTATCTCCGAACGTTCCAGGATACGCTCCTACCGCGACTTTTGACAGGTCTGAACTCCTTAAGAGACACGGGGAGCTTCCCCACGGACTCCCTGGCGGCGACAATCACGGTCATCCCCAAAGAAGGCAAGGACCCAGCGAATTGTGCGAGTTATCGGCCTATCTCGCTATTAAACGCGGACTTGAAGCTTTTCACTAAGGCCCTATCCATGAGGCTAATGAGGATTATGCCGGATCTTGTCCACCCGGACCAGGTGGGCTTCATTCCGGGTAGGGAGGCGAGGGATGACACCATAAGAGCGCTTAACATTATACACGTGGCCGGTAAGACCCATAAAACTACGGTCCTCCTATCGACCGACGCCGAAAAGGCGTTTGACCGGGTCGACTGGGTCTTTTTGGCTGAGACGCTGCGACATATGGGATTCGGGCCCT